CAGATTGAGGTCCAAGTGATGTGATTCCAGAGTATACCTCAGATCTCTGCTATGGACCACTTATAAATCAAATTCCATGTGCCAAGCATTTTTTTTTTTTCTGAGATTACTCTTTCTTCCTGTAAAATACCTCAATAAGTGTATATATAAATTAGTGTGTATACACACACACACTCCACACACTCATGTAATCCTTATAACAGCAGTAGATCAAACAAAAAATAAAAAGAAAGATACTGATGATCTGAACAACACATAACAATTTAACATAATGGAAGCACCTGAACATTTGGGAAAAAGATCTTTTTAAACACACAAAAAAAATTTCCAAACTTAGCTATAAAACAAGCCTTGATAACTTTTGAAGTATACGAATCATATAGACCACATTCTATGACCACAATTAAGTTAGAAGTCAGTTACTAAAACAAAAAGAAAAGAAAGCAACAATTCATTGTTTAACAATTTAGAAACACATTAAAAATACTCATGGGTTAAAAATTAATCATAAAGGTAACTAAACAAAAATTATAGCTAAACAATAAGGAAAATACAACATTTCAAAACTTGTGATTGCAGCCAAAGTGATACTTAAATGAAGCTGCATAGTCTTAAATGCTAATCTTAAGAAAAGAAGAAGTGTTGAAAATTAATGAGCTGGACATTCAATGCAAGAAGTTAGTTAAAGAACAATGAAATAGAAGCAAGGAGATTAGCAGTAAAATAACAAAGAGCAGAAAAGTGTAAAATTGAAATCATTCTCAATTAGTATTATCTGGCAATACCCGTGGTCTCTAAAAATTAGTAAGTGTAATAAGTACTTTCTGAAAGGTGCGTATCTTTATATACCTCTCTGTCTAGTTCTTTCCTAGTTTAAGATCCTTAAATGAATCTTTTCAGAAAGAACTAAAGATACTTGTTTCCTCAATGACATTTTTCCTAGTTATTATTATTTTTTATTGTAACATGGCTGAAAGTTTACAGAGGATATTAGTTTTCCATTCAACAATTTATACACATTTAGTTTCGTGACAATGCTTTCAATCCCCTCAAATGTAACAGCACTCTTCCCACTTCCTCCCTGGGTTCCCCATTTCCATCCATCCTTCTTTCCTGCTCCATCCTGCCTTCTGAGCTTTATTTAGTTTATTTTTTTCTACTTATTAATGTATTTTAAGAAGAAAATTTTAAAATTTAGAATTATGTAAAATATATATATATATGTATTTGTTATTGTTGTTTTAGTGGTCTTCAAGTTAGCTCTAACTCATGGTGAACCCATGAGTAATAGAATAAAATTTTGCCTGGTCCCATGCCGTCTTTATGATTATCAGTATGTTTGAGTCCCATTTTTGTGATTATTGTGTCACTCCATCTCCTTAAAAAAAAAAAAAAAAAACTCACTGCTGTCGAGTCATTTTCCAACTCAGAGCAACCCCTGCTTGGGTTTCCAAGGCAGTATCTCTATGGAAGTAGATTGCCCAATCTCCCTTCTGAGGAGTGGCTGATTGGGTTTGAACCCCCAGCCTTCTGGTTAGCAGTCAAGTGCCTTACATTTAGTATTTTCTAGACTTTTTTTTTTTTTTTTAAATGTATCTGAAGGTTTGTATATAGTTATATGGTTATTTACAAAATTTAAGCTCTAACTGTACCCATAAATTTATATTTGACTTTTTAACTTGAAATTACATCAGCATATACTTTTCAAAAATAAATTTTTTAGTGCCTGTGTTAGGTGGTGCAAAGTGGTTTTCAATTCTCTGCATACCTAATCATTGGCAGTTTGAACCCATTCAGTAGCACCAGGAAAGAAAAGCCCTGGAGAGCTGTTGCTGTTGTTAGTTGCCATTGAGTCAATTCTGTGTCATGGCTACCCCAAGTGTGTGGAGCAGAACTGCTCCATAGGGTTTTTGAGGCTGCGACTTTTTGGAAGCAGATCATCAGGCCTGTCTGCTCAGGCACCTCTAGATGGGTTCTAACCACCAACCTTTTAGCTAGTAGTCAAGTACTTAATTATTTGCACCACCTAGGGCCCTCCGTAAAGATTACAACCAAGAAAACCCTATGGAGTAGTTCTATTCTGTAATATGAGGTTACCATGAATCAGAATCAGCTCTGGCAAGGAGTTTGGGTTTTGTACTCTGTGTGTGTGTTTGTGTGTGTGTGAGAGAGAGTATTTAATTTTACTGACAGATATACCACACTGCATTTGTTCCCATTGTGAGACAATGTTTCCAATTCTGTGGTGGAGTCATTAAACTGATATTTATTCATTTATTAACAACTCAGTGATATTACCATATTGAACCTAAACAAGATTTATACATTCTGAATGTGTCTGACAACCGGTGGGGATGACCTGCCAGAAATCTGTTTGTAAGAGGGCTGTGTAGCCTTTTGGGATAACTAACAAAGAGAGTGCTAGATGTGAGTTTATGGGTTTGATACAGTAAGAAATCTTTGGGTTGTCAGAGGTGAGGAAACCAGTTTGATCCAGTCCATTCTGACTGGTGGCAAAACCATGTGAACAGAGTAGAACTGATCCATATAGTTTTCAAGAAACAGTTTGCCAGGCCTTTCTTCTGAGGTTCCTCTGAGTGGGTTCAACCTCCAACTTACCGATTATTAGTTGAGTACTTAACACTGTGTGCCATCCAGGGATTCTTAGAGGTGAGAAGCCACTCTGAAAACAACACAGTGTTGTAACTTGGTTTTGTATCTTGGCCGGGCCCCAGAGAACTCATGCTTAAGTCAAATGGAAATGGAATGATTTTGTGTAGGAGTTTGAGAAGAAAATCAAGCATAGTTATAAAACCCTGGAGTCCAGTCATCTCTGCTTTGGGACCCTTCCGACATGTACCTAGAAAGTGGAGACTTGGGTTGGGCTATTTTGGTTGCTAAGAACAGAGCTGCATTGATTTAGTAGTGAGGTTTACTGAAATGATACACTCAGTAAGAAAGAAGAGGAACTATTCAGGAATCCAAGAGCAGACTCCAAAGGCAGTCTGGCATTGTTCATAATGGACAAAGGCAGTTTTAGGGACCTCAGGAGTAGAAACTCATCTGTCTTCCTTTCAGATCTCCACCATCATTAACAAGAATCAGCTACTCTTTATATGTTGACTTCCTTTCTGGCCCTTTAATTACTTTCCTGCCAGCAGTGATCAGGTTACTTCCTTCTTTGCTTCCTAGTTGAAATTCCCTAGTGAGAAGAACCACCAATTTGTTTGGACAGTGCTTTACAATAGACCAACTCAGGATTCATTAGAATGACAATAGGCTGCCCTTGGCTTGGGTGCCCAACCAGGTTCAATCAGCCCCATCCAGGGTATTGAGGTCATAGGGTACTTGGCTCACTTCAAGATGCTTCCTTCAACAATGCCTCTGGCTAGGGCAGTGTCCCTTAAAGGCTATAGGCACAGCAGGCACCCAGAGGACAGGCATTCTCCTCAATCTCCCCCAGATTACTGTCCAGCTTTGGCACAGTGCAGGTATTGGCAGTGTCTATGGTGGAGAACAAGGGAGAAGGGGTGGAGGTGTTGAGGCCCAGTGGATCAATAATGGAGACGTTACTCAACAGAGCAGACAGAGAGAGCCGAGGGTCTAGCATGAATATTCTACATTGAGTGCCTACTGTGTCCATGTGGGCTGGACCCTATGAATGATAGGAAAATGTAAGTCATAGATCCTGTCTTCAAATAAGTCATGGAACCTGAAGGTATAAAGCTTTTAAACTACACACACACACATACACATAGCAACATAGCAACTCCCATTGTGTTTCCAAGGCAGTAAATCTTTATGGAAGTAAATTGTCCCATCTGCCTTCCATGAAGTGGCTGGTGGATTTGAACCACCAACCTTATGATTAGCAATCAAATGCATTAGGCACTGTACCACCAGAGCTCTACACACACACACACACACACACACACACATAGACACACGTCCCTGGGTAATGTAAATGCTCTATGCTTGACTACTAACTGAAAGTTTGGCTGTTCAAATCCATCCAGAAGCACAATGGAAAAAAGCTATGATGGCCTACTTTTGTAAGATCACAACCACTGAAAACTATGTATAGTACAGTTCTACTCAGAAACACATGGAGTCACCATGAGTTAGACTTAGTCACAATGGGTTGTTTTGGTTTTGGTTTGCACACACACACACACAGTAGATTATCATCCATTACATGGGTATGGGGAATTAATTGGCCAATGGTCACTTTCTCTTGTTGAGCATGTCCCTGGCCATTCATTTAAGTGTACTTTTCTTGTTCCATGTTCACCACCAAGAGAGAGAAAGTGAGGTCAAGAGCTTAGTTAGATTACATAAATTTATATAAAACTTTTTTAGCTGATTTATATCATCATTTCCCTCTTTGAGAGTTATTTGAAGCATCATTCATATTTATAGATATTCAAGGAAATATGTAGGAAAATCATCTGCCATTTAAGGTTAGAAAAGTGGCAAAATTTTTAACACTAAAAATGTGAGTTTAAAAAATATTTTAATGTAAAACATGCTCAATAATGAAAACTTGGAAAATATAGGAAAGTAGGAATAAAGGTCACCAAAGATCCAAATCAATCATCATTCACATTTTGGTATATTTCCTTCTAGATTAATTTTTCATCCTAAATTTTTACTATTTGTTTTTTTGTTTGTTTTAGATAGTTACGCTTATAAAGTAACTTTGTAACTTGCTTTTTCATCTGTCATTATTCATAATCTTCATAAATGTTGTTTGGCATGACTGTGTAATTTGCCAACCTATGTACCACCCTTTATTTAATCTCTCCACTAAAGTAAGAATTTTTGATATTACTAATATTTTGAAACATGAAATAATGTACAATATATTTATTTGTATGGAGTCTTATCCTGTATTTATACTTATTTCCATAATAGAGATTCTTAGAAATTGATTTGTTTGATCAAAGGGTATAAATAATCCTGAAGATCTTAATACATATTGCTGTATGTTCTTGTCCTTATTAAATGATTCCAGGCTATAAAAAAAGGAAAAACAAAGTGAGAAAAATTGTAAATTTGGTTTCATTAATGATTCATAATTCAAGTAGAAAGTTAAATGAATAGTTTCTGTTCAAAACATGATAGAATAGGAAGTATTTGTTTGAAACTACTAGGAAAGATATTATACATTAAATGATGGTGAACAAAACGCAACATTTTGTGATTTATCTACATTCTGAACTTTCTGAATAGGTTTAGCAGTTTCAACAAAAACTAAATTAATATCGATATATTTACTCCTTCAGTAGCAGTAGCTTCAATAAGATAAAGGCACATTTCCCTTCTTCTTCAAAATCACTCATTAATGCATTAAGTAGAAAGAAGGATCATTACTGGAATGTAGCAGCATTCAAAATCATTGAGATAAGATTCCAAGTCTTTGATCTTGACCATAAGATCTCATGCTGTTTCACAATACCAGACAGAATGTAGATTTTACAACTATTCAGTTAATTCAATCCATATGGGCAAGTCAATAGACACTTTGGGATTTTGTTGTTGTTGTTGTTGTTGTTATGTGCTGTCGAGTCGGCCCCGACTCATATTTTAGGAGTGAAAAAAAAATTGAGATATTAGAGCTTAAGTAAAGATGAGGGCAGTATGAATAGAAAGAAAGTGATGGAATTCTAGAAATTTTTACAGAAAATACTCAACAAGACTCATTGAATCCTGGGAAGTGAGGGTAAAAGGGAGAAGTACAAGTCCCAGTCATGATCTGTTACCTGGATAATAACTGAGTAGGTTCCACACAGTATCTTGGAGAGTTGAATGACTACTCTGATGAGGCAGACAATGACTTGAAGCCCACTGAGAGTTATGAGAATGGAAAATAAAATAATGTTCCACTCCACTACATGTGCAGGTTCTAGGCACTGAATCCATGTGCTAGAATCTGTAAGGAAACTATCAGAGTGGAGAGAAATGATCAATAAGATCCATGTCCAAGTCTATATGTGGCATATATATATATATATATGTTGTTGTTGTTGTTATGTGCCGTCGAGTCGGCCATATATATACACACACACTATATATATATGGTCCAAAAAAGGCAACCACAAGTATCTTTATATGTTCATGAAATTAATATATATGATTAAAATATATCATAATATCAGATAAAAAACCAAGCTCACTGCCCTCGAGTCGGTTCTGACTCATAGAGACCCTTTCTTGGGTTTCCGAGGCAGCATCTCTACGGAAGTAGATTGCCCAGTCTTCCTTCTGAGGTTTGAACCACCAGCTTTCCAGTTAGCAGTCAAATGCCTTAGGCACTATGCCACCAGAGCTCCCATAATATCAAGTAAGAACTAATGTATTTTAATAATTACTTAGATATATATATATATATATATATATTGAATTTGTTGTATGAATAGCACTGAGCAGATACTTAAAATTATTATAAACATGGTAACTGCCCTAGAAACAATTCCAGTTTGATTAGGAGGAATCAAGGCTCACAATGAAGATTTCAATTACAGTGTAAGCCAGCATATATCAGGACCAAGAGAGAAAAGAGAGCCCATTCTCTAGGAGTTCAGAAGTTGGCCTGAGCTTTCAGGAATGGGTTTGATTTTGTACTGGATGTAAAATCACACATGCAGCAAAATAACAAAGAGAAATTCTACTCTAAAACCCTAGATTCTGTCCCAAATCCCTTTAAAACAGTGATTTTCAAATTTAAGCATGCATCAGAATTACCTAGAAGTCTTGTTAAAACTCAGATTCCTGGAGCCCACTTCAGAGTTTCTGATTCAGAAGGTCTAGCTAAGACTCAAGAATTCACATTTCTAATAAATTCCCTGGAGCTCTGATAGCGTAGTGCCTAAGGCATTTGGCTGCTAACCAGAAGGCTGGAGGTTCAAACCCAAGGGTTGGGCAATCTACTTCCATAGTGATACCGCCTCGGAAATCCAAGGAGGGGTCGCTATGAGTCGGGTCCAACTCGACGGCACATAACAACAACAACAATAAATTCCCAGGTGATGTGCATGTTTTTGACTTGAGCCTCCATTTTGAGAACCTCTGTTTTAGAACATTGTTGTTCTGTAGCTATTCAGATTTGGGTAATGAGGTAGGACTCAAGCTGACAAAAGGCTTGATCAGTCAGGTTTGGAACAGGATTATGGGAGGTGGAAAGTCAGAATAAAACCACTCCCAGAATGGTCTGTAAGCCAAACTGAATCAATCTGTTGATTAGTCCATATAGTCCAGGACATTCAGAGGCACTCTAAGAATTTCTTAATATTACTAATGACCCTTACTTCTACTGAAGGCGGAGTCAGGCCTTCTGGATCTGTGTGATCTTCAACAAGGGACATTACCTCTCTAACCTTGAGAGTCTTACCTGGACAATGGAGATTAAAATACCCAACCCCAGGTTTATTGTGAATATTTAGGTGGAAGTATCCAAAAATGCTTTGGAATCTGTAAAGCATAATACAGATGTAATTCTCTGCTGCGATTTCCCTAGTTGTTGTTGTTGTTATGTGCCGTGGAGTCAGACCTGACTCATAGCGACCCCTCCTTGGGTTTCCGAGGCAGTATCACTACGGAAATAGATTGCCCAACCTTCCTTCCGAGGAGTGACTGGTGGCTTTGAACCACCAGCCTTCTGGTTAGCAATCAAGTGCCTTAAGCACTATGCTACCAGAGCTCCCCAATTTCCCTAGACCTAACTCATATTCCCTCATGCTCCTACCTTGGTCCCTGCCTCTAGGGAGGCTTGTCCGCCCAATCACCTACTCTAGACTGTTTCCAGTATTTGCTCTGCAAAGATCCACAGATCATCTGACAGTTTAAAACAAGATCACATGAAAAGTTTCTATTTTTCTCCAAGATTTTGGTGCTATTTATTCTTCTTATAAGCCACAAAAAGTCGTAAGTGCACTAGGAAGTCCTGGTAGGAATAGGGAAGATTGTCCTGACTCCTACTCCATAATAGCTCTCTCACAGCACTTACTGCATCAATTTCTAATTCTATGTCTACCTCTGTATCTGGTTTCTCACTGGACTGAGTGCTCTGAGAGTAATGGTCATGTTTTAATCATCTCTGAATTGTCAGATCTAAGACCTAAGGCAGTACCTGATATATTGTACAGCAACAAATGTTTGCTGAATGAACAACTGAATTGGGATCCACACCAGATACCACACCAGTAACTGAACCTGCCAGTCACCTGGCAGATCACCATGAGGCATAAAGGGGTATGCAGAGCAATAAGGTTGGTAATAAAATTTGGTGTGTTTTTGATAGTTTATTTAGTCTCATTTTGTATTCATTCCAATTAATTCTCAACTCTGTAAGGTGGACATTGTTATTATCCCCTAATTTATGGAGGCTCAGACATATTCAAATACTTGTCTAAGATTGTACAGGAGAGGGGCACTTGAACCCAGATCCATAAGCATCTATGGCTTGTGCTCTGAGGACAATAGTCATTCTAAGGTTTCCATCTCAGAATCATGTTCTGCCACATCATCATGAGTTCTTAAAAGGCAGGAACCTGTATAACTTCTCTTTGATTCTCTAGCACCTAGGCCAAGGCCTGGATATAGTAGGTGCTCAATAAATATTTGTTGAAGAAATGCACAAATAAATACCTGATACACACAACTTCAACGTTAACATCTGCTCCACCCTGAATTTGCCAAGTCTCAGAAACTTCTTTAGGAGACCAGAGGCTAACCTTCTCTGCACTCATGACCACCAAACAATGTTTCACCTTCAAACATTTTTAGATGCATGGAAACAGATGGAAACATTCATCAAGGGCAGCTCTAAAGGGCTACTAGAGAGGCATATAGGCAGCCTGTGATTCATGAATTGAAAAGTGTTTCAATTCTTTGGTTTGGGGGTAGGGAAAAGTTAAGGGGTTGATGATATCAAAGCTTCATATCTTTTGCACCTAGTGAAGAACACTGGGTGGTCCAAATAGTTGTGTAACCAAAAGTTTGGTGTTTCAATCCCATCCAGTGGCACTGGGAAATAAAGGTCAGATGATCTACTCTGTAAGAGTACAGCCATTGAAAATCCTATGAACAGTTCTACTCTGAAACACATGGGGTCTCCATGAATTGTAACTGACTCTATGGCAACAGGCTTGTCTATTTTTAAGTAGGATTTTCTACATTAGAATCTTCTTTCCTGGGGATCTTCCAATGATACCTCCTCCCAATGCTCAGTGCTGACAACAACAACATCCTGACCTGAGGAGAGATCTGCTCTCTAAAAGAGGTCATACCACATGGTGTCTTGTGGGACCTTTAGAATAAAGGCAGCTGTGTGCACAGAACCAGTGCTGCTGTGCAGGCCTAGAGGAGTATTTATGATCTTCAATAAACAAATCATGGGCATTTGAGAAGAAAGTGTAACATCCCCAGTGGATGGCACAAACAGACACTCCCTCATTTCATTCCTTTAGAATTCTGATTACTGGATAAGACAGGGAGAGAGTCAATGAGCCTCTCCTGAGTCTCTATCTGAGCCCTACTATATCCTGATCTATGTAAGGTCAGTGTGAGGGATCCTGTGATCCAGGATGGGGTTGCTCAACATCTGATCAATTACCAGCCTTCTGAGCTAGGCTAACTCTTAGACAATTCTTAGGTATGTGCTAGATAAGATTTTGGCTCCTTTTACAAACTCCTCCATCTAATCTTGTCCCTGCTCTCACTGCCTGGTTTTTATCTCTATCAGGCTCTGCTGGTACAATCCCCATTGTCACCAGCCAAGGACACTGTGATTCCCTCCCAGCCAAGCCCCTTTACAGCTTTAACAAACCACATGCTCATCCTGGCCACAAAACAAGGTTGAATTGTTGGGCCACTCAAACCCCAGGCTCAGCCATTGTCAGACTACAATAACCATCAAGGTATACTGAAGTATGAGAGAAATACTTGATTTATTTGGATATTTCCACAACAACCTCAAAATTATGGATGAACATGACTTTAAAACAATGGAGAAACATCTAAACAAAGATTTGTGTGGGGAAAAAATCAGTCTAGATATTAGAAAACTAATAAAAAAATTTGCCTTAGACTAGCCACATTGAACTCCAAAGTGATTGTGGAATGGCCTTGAGTGTGAGGCCAGGTGTTTCTGACTTTCTGAGCCACTTGATTTGGGGAATTATTCCTTACCGTCCTGTCGTGCCTTCAAAGGCATACTCCCAGCCATTATGGGTGCGGCAGTATGGGCCCTGGACAAGGCCCAAAGCAGATATGACCAGGCAGTATCCAGAAAAAGCAATTCCAAGGGCAGAAAAGATAATTGACAGCAATGTCTAAATTAAACATAGAAGAAAGTTAATGCCATACAATGAGGATGTTATGGATAAATCAGTAGATTTGTATATTGCTTTATTCATCCAAGACTACTGCAGGCTATATAATAACAAATTCCAGACAAAATTGGGGACATTTTAACCAAACCCATCTAGTATTAAAAATAATTCTTTTAATGATTTTTCTTTGGTATCATGTAGAGGAAACTAGATAATTTACTAAATTCCTTCCCCTTTCCTGGAATTTTTATGTTATCAAAATACAGTCAGTCAATAATGATTATTTCTTACATAAATGCAGTTAGGGGATATAAACAATCAACTTATAACTATTGAAGACTTGTCATTTTCTAAGGAGAGTAGATTCTCCATGTATTATAATTTACCATCCCTGTTTTCCTCTTGGGAAGATGAATTTGACATATCTTAACATACTGTAATATAAGAAGAAATATGAGGTATTCGCCTAGATATTCATATTCATGTTTATGTTCATGTTAATACTCAAGTGAGTAAGTGAGTATGGGATTAATAGGAGTTCTGATGGCATAGTGCCTAAGGCATTTGACTGCTAACCAGAAGGCTGGTGGTTCAAACCCACCAGCTGCTCCTCGGAAGGAAGGTTGGGCAATCTACTTCTATAGTGATACTGCCTCAGAAACTCAAGGAGCGGTCACTATGAGTCGAATCCAACTTGACGACAGTGAGTTTAGTGTTTTGTTTTTATGAGATTAGTGGAGAGAAGGGTGTTTTCGCTTGAGTAAAGAGAGTGAGCAATGCTCAGAGGCAGAGCGGCACAGAGTTGTAAGACAGTAAGTAGAAGGATCTCACCTAATAAAAGTGCCCATACAGTCAGGAATAGAAGAAAGAAGACTGTGAAAACAGAGTTGATAGGGCACAATCCAGCTCTTGAGAAGCTTAAAAGTGGAGTACAGATATGAGAGGAAATGACCTTGAATGGCAGGCCAAGGAGGCTGGCCTTCATCCTTCTGGGGAAGAGGCTTTTCTCCAACTTTTATTATAAAAATTTGTTGAACAATTAAAAGTATAATGGAGTAAATCCTTATATACCCCTTACATAGACTCAGCTATAATTAATAATTTGAAACATTGGTTCTCTTTATAAACATATACACACACATACTTATTTATTCATACATTTTTGTTTCTGAAACATTTGAAAGTAAGATGCAAGGAGACATCAAGAAATCTCACCCCTAAATGCATCAGCACTCATCTTCTAAGAATAAAGATATTCTTCTACATAAGCACAATATCATTTTCATACCAAATAAATTTAGCAATAATTTTATTATATTATCTGACACCTGATATGTAATCTGGAGTTCCTGGGTTGTGCAAATGGTTAACATAGGCTTGGTGGCTCACCAAAAGTTTGGAAGTTAAAGTCCACCCAGAGACACCTTGGAAGGAAGTCCTGGAGATCTACTTCTGAAAAATCAGTCTCTGAAAACCCTGTGGAGCATCGTGTTACTCTGACACACATGGGGTTGCTGTGAGCTGGAGGTGACTCAATGACAACTGTTTGGTCTAATATGTAATGTGAGTATGTCTTTCCAATTGTCTTCTAAATGCATTTTTTTTTTAACTTTTTGATACAGAATTCAGTGAAGGTTTATGCACAAATTTACATCTCTTGTCTCCTTTCCACAGATGTAGTCAATTTGACTTCTGTGTATTTCATTCGATGAGGTCTGTCTGCATAGCCAGAATTTATGATGTTGAAGAACAATATTTGTAGTGAATGAATTGTTGGGCTTGCAAAATTCTATCATGTGATCTCCAGCAACATTTTTTATCACCAAGGCCATATTTTCCAACTTCTTATACTTCTTTGTTTCCTACTTTTGCATTTCAATCACTAATAATTATCAATGCATCCTGATTGCCTGATTGCTCAATTTCAGCCTGCAGAAGTTGGTAACAATCTTCAATTTCTTCATCTTTGGCTTAGTGGTTGGTGTGTAACTTTGAATAAGAATCTAACTAACTGGTCTTCTTTGTAGACATATAGATATTATCCTATCACTGACAGACAGCATTGTACTTCAGGATAGATCCAGAAATGTTCTTTTTGTGGATGACTGTGATGGCCTTCCTGTGTAATGTGTCCTTTCCAGCTGAGTAGTTAGTATCAGTGCCTGATTTAAAATGGTCAGTATCAAACAAAAATCCCACAGATGGACCAATAAGCAACATTATGATAAATGAAAAAAATAGTGAAGTTGTCAAGGATTTCATTTTACTTGGGTCCACAATCAATGCCCATGGAGGCAGCAGTCAGGAAATCAAATGACATTGGGCAAATCTGCTGCAAAAGATGTCTTCAAAGTGTTAAAAAGCAAGGATATCACTTTGAAGACAAAGGTGTGCTGGAGCCAAGCCATATTATTTTCAATCACCTCATATGCATGCAAAAGCTAGACAAAGAATAAGGAAGACTGAAGAAGAATTGATACTTTTGGCTATGGTGTTGGGGAAAAATATTAAAAATGCCAGGTATTTATGAATACATGAATTGAATGAACAAATTTGTCTTGAAAGAAATATAACCAGAATGTTCCTTATAAGTAAAAATAGCCAGACTTCATCTCACCTACTTGGGTCATGTGGTCAGAAGCTACCAGTCCCTGGAAAAGGATATCACATTTGGTAAAATAGAGGGACAATGAAAAAAGAGGAAGACCCTCAATGAGATGGATTGACACAGTGGCTGCAGTGATGTGCTCAAACGTAGCAAGCATTATGAGTACGTTCAGGGTGGGGCAGTCGTTTGTTCTGTTGTACAAGAGTAACTAAGAGTTGGAAGTGACTCCACAGCACCTAACAACAATCCTCCTTTAACCTAGAATAGTCTGCCTGTGTTTTTGTTTTTCTTCATATGGATTTTTTTTTTTTTTAAGATTCTTGGCCAGTTGTCTTATAGAATGCCCCACATTCTGTTTTTTTCTGATTGTGTCTGCAGAATTTGATTCAGATTAAATGTTTTGGCAAGAATATTACATTTGTGAGGTTTGCACCAGGAGACACATCATGTCAGCCTGTCCTGTTATTGGTGGTGCTAAGCATACTCTCTTGATTAAGACAGTGTCCTCCAGATCTCTCCACTATAAAAGCACATTTTCCGTTTTGTAACTAGTAAATAGTCCGTGAGGTGATACTTTGAATCTGTGATATATCCTGTTTCCTAACAACATTTCAAATGATGGATTTCATATCCATTGATGATCCTAAAATCCACTGATTAACAATTATTACATTGGAGCTGCAATGTGCTGCTTTTCTAGTTCTATTGTTCCTTCTGAATTTATAAATTACCACTTTTTTTGCACAGAAGATCTTCCATTTTCCATTTTTCTCCCCTCTTCATCTGGCTCTTTCCCAAGCATGTAGACTCATGGATTTTTCTAATTCAATGTGCTATAATCCATAATCCATAGCATAACTGCTACTATTCTTTTAGATGCCCAGATGGCCCCAAATTTGGCTAGTGGAATCATCCCTTTAAGTCAGCTCTTATGCATTTTGGCATGTCCCCATTATTATTTGAACACTTCCTTACTCTCTGTCACAAGATATTCCAGGTTCCCATTGAACTTGTCTTGCCCCAGATTTGAAATAAGCTTTCCTCCCTAGGAAGACATGTAGTTGGTTTTTGAACAAGAAAGTGATATGAATATGTGTTTTTGGAAGATCTCTCTAGCAGGTGTGTGCATGCAAACCAGAAGCGAGAGAGCCCCAAAGTAAAGATTCTATGTGGTGACAACCTCAAACACATGCACTGGAGTGAAGAAGCGGTAAGAGAAAAGGAATGGCAGGAAGAATCATTAAGGAGGAAATGCTTAGCAGGAGATGGGCTTTAAAAAAAATCTAGAATTTGAGGATTGAGTGAAAAGGATACAGAAATAAGGATGCCAAGAGGAGTAGTTTGGTTTGGGAGAAATAAAAATTTAGTGTTAGAAATGCTGATGTTAATGTGAGAGTAGGACAACCAAACAGAAATGTGCTATAATCAGTAAATTCAAAGGCCAAGACTGGGAAAAGAGACAACAAATCTATAATTATAGGATTCAAGATTAATAAATATTATATTTCTTTAAAAAAAAAAAAACATTTCCTGATTACAAAAGTGATACATTCATAGTATGGAAATTGAGAGAAAATATTTTAAAAAACCACACAAAAAAAGAACAATTCTGCTTTTCCCCCACTCCTTGATATTAATTATTTCATTGGCATTTTTTCATATCATTTAAAGCTCTTTGAAATTATATTTCTCAGGTTGATTTTAATAGAATTTTGCCTCTCATGGAATGAGATAAACAGGGCTACTTTATTATTTATTTTAGAGTATCTCACTATTCCAAAAAATAAAAAACAAACCAGTTGCTGTCAAATTGATTTTCACTCAGATGACCTCATAAATTAGTTATGCTTTAAAAAGAAAATCTGCCTATTCATCTATGCCAGCTTCAAAAGAGGAAGAAGGATGTTATGAAAAGACTTATTACCATGTTTACCAAACATGTCCTTAAACAGTTCATAGAGAAATCAGTGAATAATTTCTTTTTTGAGGAAATTGACAGCCATAGTATAAGTACGTATACACACACACACACACACACACAGAGAGAGCTCTGGTGGCACAGAAGTTAAGGCCTTTGGCTGCTAACCAAAAGCTCAGGGTTAGAACCTACTAGCTGCTCTGTGGGAGAAAGATGAGACAGTTTGCTTCCATAAAGATTCACAGCCTTAGACCTATGGGGCAGTTCTATTCTGTCCAATAGGGTTATTATGAGTTGGATTCAACTTGATGGCAGTGGGTAATACACCCACATTATAATTTCATCAGTGAACCCACCACACAATAGAGGCAGCCTCAAAACTGAAATAAGAACCTCTCTGAGTCAGGGTTTCTTTTCTTGTAAAATGTAGATGATGTAGATGAGACTAGAACCTACCTTGTATGGCTTTTTCAAAAAGTAAAGGAGACAATGGATGTGAAAATTATTTGAAAAGTGTAAAGTATAATCAAAATATCAGCTACTTTACCTAAGTGTTCTTCTTGGGCCAATATTTGTTTTCCAAGGTTAACAACCCACTAAGTTTTGGCTGAAGACAAGCCTTCACAAAGGAATAAATAGCAACTAAGCAGCTCTGGTAGCATAGTGCCTAAGGCACTTGACTGCTAACCAGAAGGCTGGTGGTTCAAATCCACCAGCCACTGCTAGGAAGGAAGATGGGGCAATCTAATTTCATAGTGATACTGCCTTGGAAACCCAAGGAGGGGTTGCTATGAGTCAGGTCTGACTTGGGGGCACACACAACAACAGTAAGCAGTAAATTTTGGGTGTTGTCAATTTTAGTCTGGAGGTTTAGAATTTGCAAATTGATATAGGCTCAGATTCAGCTTGTGAGATGTGTGTTATTTGGTCCACATAATTTTTTAAATTAGAATTAATTTCCAACATGTTATAAGTGAGAGTTTTCATATAAAAATTCACATTTCTACTTTCTCCTGAAAACTAAGGATTCTTAATCCAATTTTATCATGGTAACAATTAGCTGAGTAACAACTTGATCCCATTGTAAATGGAAAATTTACTCTAATATCCAACAGGCTCACTTCTTTCATTTATATATCACAGTTGGATCCTAGGGACATATGAGTTGGGACCTCTATTCTACAGCCTGCCTTGCAAGAGCCAAGCTGGGAATCCAGTTCATCTCTCTCCCTTCTTCCTACTTCTCCCATTCATATGTCACTCATCTCAGTCAAGGCTGATTATAAAACTCTGTTCAGACTTGTTCTACCTTACATCTGTGCTATAGATGCTAATAGCAAGTTATAACAAATTGAACACATTTATTTTTTTTATACACTTATAAAGGCGCACATATTTGTTCGCCAGAGAATCCCCAAGTATCATAGCTTGTCTGTGTACCTGAATCCATTTGCTTCACTTAGGCAATTTTGAAAGGTCTTCCTTAACTATAAGATCAGCAGCTATAGGTGGATTTCTGAGCCAACAGGTTAAGAAAACACACACACGCAGTATAGTTTAATTCTTCTGCACCAGGGGTGCAGTGCCAAATTAAGCCATTAATTTAATTTCCCAAAGACATCTATCAAAGAAAACTGGTCATACCATCTTGGCTGCAAATTGAAATCTCCTGAGGAGATTTTAAGTGTATTTATACACAGGTCACACCTCAGATCAATTAAATGAGGGACTCTGAAGTGGGACCCAGACATCGTTATTTTTTCAAACTCCTCAGGTGATTTTAGTGTTCAGTCAAGGTGTGGATCCCCTGCTGTGAAGAATGCCTCCCAGACCTCCTGGGTAAGCTCCTCTTAGTTCATTAGTCACAGGTAGTTTCTAGAGGCACACATGCCTTACTTGTATATCAGGTGTCATGGTGACCTACTTCAATCAGCAAAAGTGAAAGAACTATAAAGTGCTATGCAAATGTGAGAAAAGATGACAATGAAGAAAACCAAACCAAAACCAAACTCACTGCTGTCAAGTCTGATCCTACTCATAGCAACCCCTCCTTGGGTTTCTGAGGCTGTATCACTATGGAAGTAGTTTGCCCAACCTTCCTTCTGAGGAGTGGCTGGTGGATTTGAACCACCAGCCTTCTGGTTAGCAGTCAAATGCCTTAGGCACTACACCACCAGAGCTCCTACAACAATAAAGAGGAGGAGGATAAAGATAATGGTGGAAATGTGGGAATCCTCTGTCTACCTGTTGAACACAGGCTTAGAAAGATTAATTATATTATTCTCCCATGATCCTATTTTAGCTTCTCAAAATTTCATTTTAAAATATGCGTATCATGTACACACAAAAAGATGGATGAACCTAAAATTCATTATGTTGAGTGAAAGATGTCAGATACAAAAAACAAATAATGTATGATTCCATTTATATAAAATGTAAACTAATCTATGATGACAAAAAATAATTTTGGGGGATCATGGAACTGTTCTGTATCTGTGAACTGTGTTCTGAACTGCGATGGACATTTCCTGGGTAAACTCAACTGTCAAAATTTATGGAATTGTATGTATACTTCTAATAGTTGTCAGTTATTGTACATAAATTACTCTTCAATGACACTGATAAGGTTTAAAAAAAATCCTCATAGCAACCCAGTTAGGAAAAACCAAACACCAAACCTGTTGCCATTGAGTTGATTACAACTCAGAGTGACTCTGTAGGACAGAGTAGAGCTATCCTATAGGATTTCTAAGGCTGCAAATCTTTGTTGAATCAGACTGCCACATCTTTCTCCCACTGAGCGACTGGTGTGTTTGAACCACTAACTTTTTGGTTGGCAGCCAAGAGCTTAACCACTGTGCTACCAAGGCTCCTAGTCCAGTTAGGAAAAGGTCATATATGTCCTACTTTTATGTCTTAAAATGCTTAATTTCTGAGGAAATATCAGCAAAACAAAGATGGAAGAAAGAATGGAAGCTGCATGGAAGATGACTTGTGGAGTCATTTCTTGGGCTCTGAACTGATAAGGTCACTGAGAGTACTCAGCATTGTCAATATTTTAGTGTTTCTGAGTGAGAGGAAAGAAAGCTAGGGCCCACTCTACCATCATCAAAAAACTATTGCTCTTACCATATACTTTTTGCTGCAGTTTTCACTCTGGCAACATTTATAGTTATTTTCATTCTCCAGTACAAGAAGAACTGCTGCTACTATAAGCATCTATAGGAAGAGGGATAAAATGTCAGAAAAAGAATGCTAGTTTACATTCACCTTCAGAGTGAGACAGTGATTCCAGAAATAGACTCTGGGATCAGATACATTTCAGTTCAAATCCCAACTCTCCCTCTGTCTAGTTGTGTGAGCTTGTGAAGCTTCCCTTTCAAATGGTGCTGAGAATTCCCTTGTTGGGTTGTTATGAAACTATGTAAAATTTTGAGCACAGTACTTGGGCCATAATAAATGATTAATAAATGTTAGCTATTATTATCATTATCTTTACCAATTATTGAAAGCTAAGGATAGAGGAGGAGTGAATGGTATGAACACGGGAAAATGGTCCTGGACTGCAAAACTTACATTTCTCAGTAACTCCTTTGTGGAGGATTTGGCTAATATAAAACTAACTCGGACTCACGGCAACCCATGTGTGTCAGGGCTCCATAGGGTTTTTAGTGGTTGGGTTTTTTTGGAAGCAGATTGCCAGATCTTTCTTCTCGGGCACCTCTGGGCAGACTCAAACCTCCAGTTCTTCAGTTAGCAGCTGATCATATTGATCACTTGCACCACCTAGCGTCCACATCTTAAACCACATCTCTTCATTCAAAGTAAAGTTCAATTTCCCCATACAAGGAAATCACCTCAGGTCCAAATTTTCCAATCTGTTTTATCTGTGTCAAGCCAATTAATTGGTAGAGTTCATTGCATTCCACTTACCTCTCTTGGTAATTTACACAAAGGACTCAAGGTCTGGAAAAAACATAGATTTCCTTACAACTATAATTGCCAATTTAGGCAGATATAGAGATTTTTAAGGCATATTCTCCATCTATTCTTTACACTCACTGTTGAATACTGAATTCCTATGCTGAGTTCACTGTTATTTTATTGTTTGTAGCCAACCTGTTCAGTTTCCACATTCCTTCAGCCTTCATTTATTTATCTACCCTTTTAATTATTTATCTATTTTCCTCTCCTTTTTCCTAAAAGGGTTTGGTGCAGTTGCAATAATATTTTCTCAAGAATTTCTGGATAATAAAAAATAGAGAAGAATTTCTTTTCCAGGTTTTAATTTTTTATTTGTGGAATATAAGCAAAAGGACCCTATATTCCTCTCAATGCCATTAATTATCACAGATTTTAATAAATTCTAGCTCAATCTTGTTTATGACTTACAACTCTTCCATTTATAACAATTACATATTGAGGGAAACAATGAAGAACTATGGCTGAAGTACAATAAAATACTTCATTACAGTATTGGTAGAAATAATTAGGCTCATGTCCTGAAGTCCTCTGTTTGTGTATGACTTGTGTTGAAGGAGAAATTGCCTTTTGTTTTGTTTTAAATAAATTTGCAATTAGAGGACTCAAAAATACTAGAGGAAAATTACTCATAACTCCACTACCCTTACATGTTTTATGCATTTACTTTCATAATTTTCGTACATAAGCATATTTTTACATAGTTGCAAATGTAATTTACTCACAATTTTATTGTCTTTTTTTTTCCACTTAATGTAGTGCCTAAGGCATTTGACTGCTGAACAGAAGGCTGGTGGTTGAAATCCACCATCCACTCCTCGGAAGGACAATTGGGCAATCTACTACTCCCGTAGAGATACTGACTCAAACCCAAGGAGGGGTCACTATGAGTCAAAATCAACTTGACAGGAGTGAGTTTGGTTTTTTATTGCAAAATAAGATACGTTTTCCATGTTATTAAACCCAAACCCAAACTCACTGCCATAGAGTTGATTCCAACTCATAGAGAGTCCCATTGGGTTTCCAAGGCTGTAAATCTTTATGGAAGTGGATTGCTTCATCTTTCTTTCATGGAGTGGCTGGTGGGTTTGAACCACTGACCTCTGACCTTTTGGTTAGCAAACAAATGTCTTAACCACTACATCATCAGACTCCATGTTATTATAGCTTCATAATTATATTTTTCCTCACCACATGAAGTGAATATAACACATTTATTTGTCCATTTCTCTGCTAGAATGCTTCTTCTAGTTCTTTACTGTAATAAATAATGCTGCCACAAATACTGCTATATAGCTCTTTCCTTCATTTGGATTATTTCCTTAGGATGAAGCATGGTATTTAGGATGACCAAATTAAAGCCCATAAACATTTTCATGGGTCTTGATATAATGCATCAAACTCTTCTCCAAAGATCTGTATTTATTTATAGTGCTACCACCTTGAGTTATGGACCTCTTTCATAGCAACTTCAATAGTGTTGGGGATTAACGTTTTAAAGATTGAACATTTAACATGCAAAAACAGTAAGTAAATGAAAACTGCTTTACAACATAGCCATTCAAATATTATAATAATTAAATATCTACAAATATCTAGCAATAGTTTATAATGAAGTTTCTTCTATGTTACTGGTGATATTGTAAGCTTCTAGTGCACAATGTTTTGTTTTTAGAAATGATATGATCAGGAAAAGTGTCTTTTCCTCTGAGCTGCCAACATGATTTACTATCTGTTAGTTTATTTTTAAAGAGCACAACTTCACCAGAAAAACATTGTGGGTAATTTCGTTTAGTTTTCAAAACATCCTCCATTATTTGGGATATAATGTAAGACCATTTACTGATGACACGGCTCATCTTTCAACGAGTATTTAAAATCACAATAGTCATTTGCTTGGTCCTAAGCACTTCATATATGTGATTTTATTGAATTCACACAATTATCCTGCAAAGTAAATAACACTATCCACATTTTCCAAATGAGAAAACCAAGGTTAAAAAATAATGAGCAACTGGCTAAAGTTGTCATAGCACAAATGACAGAGCTTAGATTTAATTGTAAATTTGTCTGAATGCTCAAGTCTCTGTTTTTTCCACACCCTCCCAACCATTCCCCAAGCTGGAGAAATTATGAGTACTGAGTTTAAATTACTGATTACAGAGTTTAAATTAATACACAGGACACATTTCTATAGTCCAGTGTCCCACAAGCTTCCATCAGGGCTAATTTCCTACACTGCTGAAACCACATAAATGCACAACTTACTGGAAACAAAACTACTCTTCAGGTTCTAATGAACTATCTTCCCCACACCCCCTGCACCTACCCTTCAAGTCCCAAACCCAGGATTAGTAGAATGATTTTCCCATTACTTATTATTTTTACTAGAAACAAGGTAATTCCTAGTAAAAGTCCCCTCATACGATCCCAAGTCTCCAAAGTTGCACTTACCATGACACCTGAGAAACAGATTCCTTCAAAGTACCACACGTAGTTGGTGAGTTTATTGCTGGATGCGTAGGAAGCTTGCCCGTTTGGGAAATACAGTAATATATTGACAATTATGCTCCAAAGTGCAAGGGGAATCAGCAGCCCACTTAAGCAGCCTCCACACTTCCGAGACCCCATTTTGCCCTGCTGAGGACCTGCAGGAGAGTTCAAGAGTGTAGAAGAAAGTTACCTTTTTATTTTCCTTTCCTACTGGTCCTTTTCTTTCTTTCTTTTTTCCTAGAGATTACCTGCCACTTTCTGGGTCAGAGCCCTTCACTTCATATTCATGAGGAGCTGGAGATTTGGATATAAGTGCAGCCAGACAATCTCAGTGTGAAATAGTGGTTTACTGTTTGGAGAACAATAGACAATGATCAACAGCTGAAGAGCTGAGCTGGTCTTCATCCTGTGCCAAAGGAATGTAGCGTTTTCACTGCTTTTTTAAAAAAGTCATTTTCGTCTGGAGTAGAGCACTAAAGACTTAACAGTGAGCATGTTTTAAGAAGGGAGTTGGAAGGAAGAGGGGTAGAATTGAGTCTGGCAAATTTCGTCCATTAACAGTGGAGAGAGCTCTTGAAGAGAATGCTATCAAGGAGGTTGATAATAGAGCATTTTTTTTTTTAAGATACTAATTTCATGTCACTTTATAGAATTGTCTTTCATTCAGCACTGTCACCTGTGTGCTCATTATTCTCCAAGCATTGTTCAAGCTTCATGGGCACAAAAATAACTAAAAAAGGGACTGGTGAGTGAGCAAAATAAGACATCACACTTAGTGAGTTTATGTTACTAGACTGTAGGTGCCTCCTTCCAAGAGTTTGCATTTATTATCTCTTTAAAACTCATTACTTCCCTGAAAAATAATAACAAGTATTAATTCATAGCTATCTTATTGTTAGGAGCTCTGGTAGCATAGTGCCTAAGGCACTTGACTGCTAACCAGAAGGCTGGCAGTTCAAACCCACTAGCCACTCCTCAGAAGAAAGGTTGGACAATCTACTTCTGTAGAGATACTGCCTTGGAAACCCAAGGAGGGGTTGCTATGAGTCGGATCCGACTCAACTGCAGTTTATTATTATTATTATTATTATCTTATTGTTAAGGAAAAGCAAAATTGGATAATTCAATTAAGACTTTACGAGTAACAAATTTGAAACAAGGATTTAAGAATTATCCTTTCCAAGTTATCACTCTAAATTTAAAGAGCCACAGATCCCCTCTAGTTATGACAACAAGGGTCATGAGAAGGAGTCTTGGGACTAAGAAGTGAAAGATGAAATAGAAGCAAGGGTTAAGAGTTTGAAGGTTTGAATACTAGTCCCACTCCTTTCTACTGGTAGCCCCTTGATTCTACTTGACTCTGGACTTAATTTTCTTAAGTCTCAACATCCTTAGTTATGGAATGGGGATAAAGAATAGTTACTTCACCAGAAGGATAATGTGAGAATTAAAGGAGATTATGTGTACAAAGCTGTATCAGAAGCATATAGAGAGGCAGCAGTATTTGAGACACCATTAATAATAATTTAAAAAGTAGTTATAAGAACAAAACAGAACAGAGAGCAGAAGTAGCCAAGTCTACTTATTTACTCCTTTCTGCACCAGAACTCAATCCTGCGTCATGAACTCTCGAAATCTTGATCCCAGAAATGTTTACATTTAAGATGTTATTGTCCTCTGGGAAGTCCTGATATACTAAATATACATACTTTTAATTCGGTAGGAGCTCTGGTGGCATAATGCCTCTCCTGAGGCATTTGACTGCTAACCAGAAGGCTGGTGGTTCAAACCCACCAGCCACTCCTCAGAAGGAAGATGGAGCAAACTACTTCCGTAATGATACTGCCTCAGAAACCCAAGGAGGGGTTGCTATGAGTCGGGGCTGACTCTAGGGCACCTAACAACAGACTCTAAAGAGGTTTCATGGCACCCCCTGGTGGATGTCATTTTTCTTCAGTAGTGTTTTTGATCAAAGTGCATCAACAAAATCTGGACATTAAGTATTTTTTTTCCTGTGACACATGAAAATCATAGTAAAATCATATTTTCTAGAGCCCTCGGAATGATTGGGGAAAACAACATTTTTAGTCATATCTTCATTGATCATGTCCTGTGTGCCAGACAGTGTTCTAAGAGCAGGGAGAAATAGGTGAAAGATAGTCTAAAATCCTTGCCCTTGTTGAGCTTGCATATGTGAAGCCATACCAAACGTACTGCCATCAAGTCAATTCCGACATAGTGACCCTACAGGATAGAGTAGAACTGCCCCATAGGGTTTCCAACTCTTCAGATCTTCACAGAAGTAGACTGCCTTATCTCTCTTCTATGGAACAGTTGGTGGGTTTGAACTACCAATCTTTTGATTAGCAATTCCAATGCTTTAACCATAGCACTGCCATAGCTCCTGCATTTTACCATAACAAAACCAAGCCAAACTCATTGCCATGGAATTGACTCTGACGCATACCAATCTCTATTGGGTTTTCAAGGTTGTAAATATTTATGGAAACAGCAGATTGCCTCATCTTTCTTCTGTGGAGTAATTTGTTGTTGTTGTTGTTATGTGCCGTCGAGTCAGCCCTGACTCATAGCGACCCCTCCTTGGGTTTCCGAGGCAGTATCACTACGGAAGTAGGATTGCCCAACCTTCCTTCCGAGGAGTGGCTGGTGGGTTTGAATAGGTGGGTTTAAACCATTGACCTTTTGGTGAGCAGCAAAATGCCTTAACCACTACACCACCAGAGCTCCTTACATTCTACTATACAAAAAAAAAAAAAAAAGAAAGAAAAACAAGTCACTGCTGTTGAGTCAATTTGACTCATAGCGATCCCTCCTTGGGTTTCCAAGGCGATATCACTGTGGAAGTAGATTGCCCAACCTTCCTTCCCAGGAGTGCCTGGTGGGTTTGGACCACCAGCCTTCTGGTTAGCAGTCAAGGGCCTTAGGCACTACACTATAGGGAAGAATAATAACAAAAAAGCCATATAAGTAAAACAGAATATCAGGTGGTGATAGTGTGGCTAAAATACCAGAAAATGGGGATAGGGATGTAAATCAAACAAGTTGGTCAGGGAAGACCTTACTGAGAGGTAACATTTGAGCAGATATCTGAAGGAGGTGAAGGGTATGAGCCACACAAAGAACTTAGGGAAAAGCATTCAAGGCAGAGAGAACAGCAAATATGCAAAAGTGAACCACAGCCAGGAGACCATTGTAGAGCCAAGTGAGAGGGGAAGAACAGTAAGAAGAGCACCTCAACAACAAAAAGATTAGTTTTGAGCAGAAAAATGATTTGATATTTTATTTTATTTTTTTGTTTTGTTTTAAGAGCTTGTTTTACATTCAACATTATGTGTACATTTAGTTTCACTTTCCTTTTACCATGTCCAACCCTAACCCAGTCTCCTCCCCTCCCTACATAGTAACCCTCCTTCTCTACCCCTCATATTTACGCACTCCTGTTTGTCCTGCATTTCCTTAATTTGAATGTTGGTCCTCTGGTGCCCCATGGTCTATTGCTCTCAGGGATGTATTACCATAGAGTATGTGGGTGCGTCATCCTAGGTTGAGTGGTCTGCATGTACATCTTGTTAACTATTGGGCTGAGGGCCAGCCGCTGGGGGTGAGTTCTACCCTAGGCACAGAATGTATGCCAGGGCTGTAGTTTTGGGGATCTCATCAGATTCCATCTGACCAGTAATTCTGGTCATTATTGAGTTTTTGGATTTTGTTCCACGTTTTTCCTTCCACTGTATCCAGGATCCCCAGGTTTTATCCTTTCCTGAGTGGTAGGCATTGGTAGCCAGGCACCATCTAGTTCTGGTCTTGAAGGTCATCATGTCCTAGGGCTGATTGCTTCCAAATGCTTTTTTTTTTTTTTTTTTGCATTCTTCTTCACTTAACACTTGTTGTTGTTATGTGCCATCGAGTCAGACCCGACCCATAGCGACCCCTCCTTGGGTTTCCGAGGCAGTATCACTATGGAAGTAGATTGCCCCATCTTCCTTCCGAGGAGTGGCTGGTGGGTTTGAACCGCCAGCCTTCTGGTTAGCAGTCAAGTGCCTTAGGCACTATGCTACCAGAGCTCCTCGCTTAACACTAGGAGACCATTAGCTGCATCTTAGATGGCTGCTTGAAAGCATTTTAGACCCCAGTGGCTACTCAACAATGTAGGATGTGGAATAAGGCTTTTATGTATTTTGTTGCGCTAATTGAGTCTGGTGTCCCCCAGTATTATGGTTCTGAGATGGCAGATCTATTGGATCTCTTTCCCATACTCTCTGGGTGAAAATGACTTGATATTTTAATATTTTTAACCTGGTTGCTGTGTTGTGAATAGATTTTAGAGGCTGAAGAAAGAGAGAGAGAGAGATAAGTTATGAAGCTGTTTCAACAATCCAGCTAAAAGATCATTATGAGTTCTGAAGCCATTGTGATAATCCACCTAAGAGATGACAGGAGCCATGGTAGCAGCAGCAGAGATGATGAGAAGAGGTTAGATTCTCAATATAGTTTGAACGTAGAATTGATAGAATTTGGTGACTGACTGGATGAAGGCATGAGAGAAAAAGAAGAATCAAAGATGCCTACATGGGTTGGGGCCTGCGCAACAGGACGGATGTAGTTGTTGTTAACTAAAATGGGCAAGACAATAGGAAGAACAGGCTTGCAAGGGGGAAGATTAGATAGTCAGTTTGGGAAATGTGCAGTTTTGAGGTAACTATTAGAAATCCAAGTGGAGATGCCAATGTGGTAGTTGGATATACAAATTTGGAGTTCATAAGCAGTCTGGAATGGAGTATAAATATGAGAGTTACCAGTGTGAAAATAGGATTTAGAACCATGAGAGTATGGAAACAAAACAAGAACAAGTCCAAGGACTAAATCCTGGACGGTCCAATGAATAGAATTTGGGGAAAATCAGCAAAGGAAATTGAGGATTGGCCATTGAGTTAGGAGGAAAAAATCAGGACCTAGTCCTGGAAATTGAATTTCCAGGACAAAGGAGCGTTCAACTGAGAGAAGTGCTGCTGCCAATAGGGCAAGTAAATTGAGAATAGATTATTGGGTTTGGCAATGTGAAGGCCACTGATGACCTTGATAAGAGGAGCTTTAGTAGTGGGAAAGGGATGACAGTCCAACTGGAGTGGACTCATGAGAGAATGGGAGGAGAGGCATTGACAACTGATTTGGGCAATTTTGGTGTAAAAAAAGAGAACAGAAATTGGAGGCAAAGTGGGAGTCAAAAGAAAAAAAAGCATGGGAAAAATTGTAGCATGATTATATATTGATGGAAATAATCCTGGAGGAGGCAGGGGTGGGGGAGGGTGAAGATAGACAATGCAGGAGAGAATGAGGAGAGTTGCTGCAGC